AGGTTACCTGCTGAGAGAATGCTACCCTGACAATTTCCCAATCCTAGGCTTCCCTGAGCAGTCTTCTCTCCCAGAACACACAGTACATAGTTCTATGGAARCACGTCACAATGGTAAGATTTTTCAAAATCTGCCATTCACACAAGAATAGGAGATCCTCCTGGATGGAAACTCTCCATCCTTGTGCTTTAGTTTGCCTATACTTAATCTCCTTTTGACTTAGCCGACCATCTAGAACATGTTTTTTTTTTTTTTTAAATAAACAATCATCAAATAAACAAAGTCAAAAAAATTGGAAGAAGTGGGAAAACGTCAGGTTTAAAGTTAGGTGGGTTGACATAAATCAAGTCATTGCTGGCAAACTGTGTTCTACTAGTACTTGACCTTCTCTGGCACAGTCTGTTTTGCATACTTTAAGGTATGGAGTGTGAATATCTATGCTAATGGCAAAGTGAGTGTTCTGAACCCAACATATGATAGGCATTTTACAGATGACTGCCTCCTCTTGTTTGTTACATTCTCAGTGGCAGTGACCTTCTCTGAGATTTCCAAAACCCCTCCTAATCTTTTACTTCTTTCTCAAAGCAAGTACTCGCTCTCCTTGGCAGTTCACGTGCTCTCTCATGCTCCTTTGTGTTGTCCTCTACTGACCTCTTCGTGATTTTATTTGTGAGGTCTTTGACTCCTTCCTCACCATGATCCCAAAGTGTCTCTCAGCATTTAAAGGAGACTCCAGTTTCTACCCAGAGAAGCTTCTCTTTTTCTATGTCCACAACCAACACATGTGACTGGGAGCTGGACATGAATCTACACTACCTCTGACATCTTATCCTCCAGTATTCTCTCATCTAACTCATCATTGCTCTCTGGCTTTCTGTCACTACACTTGTTCTCTGTCATCGCTGAACCTGTAGCTGCCATCTCTTCTATGTGATAATATTTGATGCCATCTGTGCCTTACCCTGAAACACTCAGTTTCCTTCTGTTCACCATCTGATATAGTTCCCAGGCTGCTCATCATCCAGGTACTCTTCCTCTGTCCTTCTCTTATTTCTTCAATGTTTCTATTAAAGTTTAGTAACCAGAACTGACATATTAATGCAGATATGATCTGACTAGGAGACAGTAGTGTAAGACACTGTATGTCTTGATCTTAGCAAAGTGCTTCTGACAGAGTCCAAGATGATATTAAAATGGTTTAGAGCAAATCTGACTTTGCACTGCGCTCATTCTGAATTTGTCTTCAACTTAACGGCTTTGAACAGCTGTCAAACCAGGCCTCTTCCTCTAGACTTCATGTAATTGATTATGAACCTATACTTTATGAAGTTTCAACTTTTAGGCTTATTACTCAGTCAAGATTAATAATTATTTGGATCTTGTTTATGTAATACAACACCGGCTTTCTCTCCTATATTTATGGCATTTACAAATTTCAAAAACATGTTTTATTCATTTTTATTCATGGAGTGATAAACATTGTGACAATATTAGGTCCAAGGACAGAATCTTGTAGATGACCATAGACTTCCTTGCATTTCAAGAGTGAAATGTTTATCAGTGGTGTCTGAATATTCATCAGGTTCCACTTTTCTCAAGCTAAGGGTAAAAGAATACCTGGTGTATTTTAGCAAACATTCAAAACTACAGTATATATCTAAGGCATATTCTAGATGTAGCAGTGTCTCTTGAATAGTTTGTTGGTACTTCTATGTGAATTAATTTCAAAGTCACTTGAAACTTTGGACAAAAATAACTACATGGCTTAATTGGTAATTATTTGAAATGGTTTAATTTTATAAAAAAATACATGTTTTAACTTTTAAAGGTAATGATAATATTTTAAAATATTTTGAACCTTCTTCTCTGAGACCAGAGTTTAGTATCTTCATCCCATATGGAATCATTTGGTGAAAATATTTAAATGTCACCAAATTATAGAGTTTTCAATGTCTTCCCTCAGGATTTCATTAGAAAATTTGTCAAAAATGTCATATAAAACTCAATATATAGGGCTGGGGATGTGGCTCAAGTGGTAGCGCGCTTGCCTGGCATGCGTGCGGCCCGGGTTCGATCCTCAGCACCACATACCAACAAAGATGTTGTGTCCGCCAAGAACTAAAAAATAAAAATATTAAAAATTCTCTCTCTCTCTCTCTCTCTCTCTCTCTCTCTCTCTCTCCTCTCTCTCTCTCTCTTTAAAAAAAAAAAAAAAAACTCAATATATAACACTTAGCTTTATTATAGGCTCCCAATCCTAAAAGCCTATTAATGAGGGCTTAGTTTGGCTGTGATTTTTCTTAAGGAAGCCCAATTGTCTTATTTGAAATACTCCAAACCATTTATTTAATGAAACATTCTATAGTTTATGTAAATATTAACATGCAATATACTAAATTTTGATCGTCCAAGTCTTTTCTTTCTACTTTTGAAAATTTGGGCAATAAACCAATCTCTTGTACTTTGGTATTCTTCTCAAGAATTTCTCTCACACCTCTAAATCATAATATTGGGAACACATCTGCTGGATTATTGATTGCTCAAAGCACTTAGGTGTAAGTCCTCATTTAAGTCAGTTAGAAATACTCCTAAAATCTTTAATTCCTGCTCTTTATAAACTAATGGCTTACTTATCTTTTAATGATTTTTACTCTAACTTATCCAGTTTGAGGATAATTTTCCTTAGATGGAGAAAATAGATTGAAAAAGATTGGAGTGTTCATTTTCTCTTTCTTAGCATCCAAACTAACACGAGTTCCACCAATCAGTAAAGGGATCACTTCCTTCTTGTTTCATATGTTGTAAAAACTTTTTCCAGCTAAGAAGACTTCTTTACTCTTTACTCTGAAACTTCAACTAACCTTGTATTTTAGTGTTTGGGTATTAATTTAAAGGTGTATGAAACTTGTTTGCAGATCTAAATTTTATTTTCCTTCTACAGACATTAAAATTAGAAACAGCCCAAAGGCCTCCATATAGATCCAATGTACCCCCCCTTCTTTTCCTTGTATTGATTAATGTGGTTTTACAGTTGAGTTTCTACATTTTGAGCTCACTTTGGCCAATGTTTATAGTTTATTTTTTCTGAATTTTTTTAAATTGCTCACTTCTTAATTCTGAGGAAAAAGACTATCTGTGGCCATATTTATCTGCATTGTTTTTATACATGCCAAGTTGAGGGGTTGCTTCTCCTAGAGAACCACTTCCCCCTCAAATTATTAGCCAGTCCTATTGTGTGCATTTCATACAAAACAACATTTTATTTTGTTTCTTGATCTAACTTCATTGAGATAAAAACTTTTCATCAAGGAGAGKCTGTACATCAAATGTTCTGCTTTTAGGGGAACATTTTAAATTCAAGAGCTTTGTATTTACACTTTTAATTATATAAATCTTTACATATAAAAGTTTGTCAGTTTTCCTTTTATATATTAAATATTTAGTCAAATGCTGTCACATATAAGAGGGAAGTTAATATGTAACAAATCCTAAAAGAAAAAAATAATGCTCTGTTTTGTTCCATCTCTGAGTTTGAGTAATGTACAATGAACACAAGGGTTAAGGGTGGCGATTCCTTGATCATGTTCCTGCATCAGATAAGCATGGGAATAGAGAGATAAATAAAATATGCTTGCTGATTAATTGACATGAAAAGATTATGCTCATGTGTGAATGTGCTTTAAAATTCCTTCTTATTTCCCWAAATGACACAGTTTATAAATTTTCTAGCTTAAACTTTCATTTCCTGCTACCTCTTTTGACAAGAACAGTCTTTGATATTTCATAATTTTCTAAATGTAAATTCTTACTGTTGTTCTCCATTTAGAATTCTATAATTTTCACATCGATTATATTCGTGATCAGTGAATATGAAAATATGGTCTATTATAAGCCTATTACTAAGAATGGCACTAAATTTAAACAAGCCCTTTTAAGGTAAAGCTTTAGAGTGCCTTACTTTGACCACTGCCTTCCCCTTAGGTACATTCAAATCCACAAATATTCACAAAGGTGCAATGTACTGGGGTAGTTTTGGTGGAGGAAGTGATACAAAAGGACACTGAGATTTATGATTCCGGATCCAGTAAGAAACAGAAGATTCTATGGATAATGATCTTGGAGCCATGATGCTTATTACATTCATAAGTATGAACAAAGTGTTGGATAGATGGTAATTCATCTAAAAAACTCAACATTGATTAAGAATAGGAGACTGGGGGATCAGCTTTCAAAGAAGTAGTTTTAGCAAATTACTTTATATATCTAATATTATTGAATACAAACTAGTCATATTACAATTATATTTCCAAAGTGTTCAAACTGAACATCTAAACTAAAACTATTTTCATAGTAAACATTCTAAAGGATTAACTTTCTAAGATATATCATGTTTCCCTGATTTCTAAAATTGATCACAACTTTAATCCTTGCTGATGCTTTAGAATTATTGTTTAAATATTCACTAACAGGCTAGTGTTGTACTACAACAATGCCCTTAGAAACTGCTTTATGATACAGATTTCTTTTTACAGTAAAACTCCTATACTGATAGGATGTGTAAATAGCATGTGTGATTGATTCTTCCTTTTTCCTGTCTTTTGCCTTGCTAGAGAGTGCTCCTTTTGGCTCCCTGCTGTTGGTGTGTCTGCTTTATCTAATACCCCCTTCAAACTGACAGATTGAGATCTCCAGTACAAGAAGAAAAAAAAATCTGATAGGATTTTCCTTAAGAAAAAGAAACAGTCTCCAAGTGAGTATTTAAAGAACATTCTCTTGAGAAAGCTGCAGGGACTTGGGTTCTTTTTGCTATTGAGAGATTTTATTTATTTACTTACAAATTCTTTGTTGTATTCTTGACAGTGAAGGTTTCAGCTATAGCATGGGTTCAGTATGACTAATATAATGCTATAGCACTTTTTGGAATTTAAATATTATTTCACTGAAGTTATGCAAACTGGAGACTAATCTTTGAAAACAAAATAATAAACATTCTGTCCTTGTTATACCAAAAAAATCAAGCAAATGTATTAGCTTAATAATTTGGAATGAGATAGTAGGAGTATCAGGAACAAATTCTACCATGGGAAATGTTGTGGATCTACCTGTTTAGAAGGAAAGAATCTTTATTTACTATATTTTTATTAAGCAAGATATTTTTTCTATAATAGGAACAAAAAAATCAAAGATATAGATTTTAGCACTCTCTCCCTATCAGAGTTATTAAAATGATAGAAGAAGAGAATCATGCAGAAATGATACAGAATATAATTCTGAATCCAATGCAACTCTAAAAGCACTCTTTACAACAAAGCACGCTGGTAGAAATGCCCAGGCATTTAGAGTATACCTCCATGTTCTGAGCAAATGGATCCTTTGGATCACACAATGTTGAAGATATTCGATGGTTGCCACGGAAACATCGCTGACTTATATTCTGGGGGACTGGAAATGTCTGCCGAATAATCGTTAGCCTTCCAATTGACCTTCTTACAAGTTCCTGTACATCAACATCGTTTATTTCCTATAGGATAAGATAGGAAGTGGAAGAATTAGAAATTCATCAATACAGCAACAGAGAAACACAAAACCATTAATGAGTTGTTATCTAGGACTGCTGAGGGATTCTGTTACTATAATACATTTGCTTGGTGCTTAGCACATATCTAAATGAAAACAGCACATGTTCATTGAAATAATCAACTTATTTATAGGTGTTCTTCTAATTTAAATTATGTATATTAGTGCCTAGGTAATTCTGACTGGAACAATTTACTTAAATGTACTTAGTTATGATCAAGTTTATAATTTATTACATTAAAAATATAGTAGAAAAATATAGTGTGGTAAAACATTGAAAAAGGTGAAAAAATAAGTTGATACTATAGTTTGTCATTTATTAATGGACTTCATCATACTTGGACAACCTAGGAAGATTGTTGCAATGTAAGAGAAACATATATTGTTCATAGCAATGAAAAAACAAGGCTTTAAAAAAGTGATAAAAATAGATATAGCAAGAGGAGATATTTTTTAAGAATTTTATTAATATTTCTTAGACCTATTGATGTTAACTAACATGTTTCTCTTTGTAATGGATAAACAAAGTGCTTACTAACTATTGAGTAATGTTATAGATGTGGTCTTGACATAAAGGTAAAAATTTCTGCTGGTTAATATTGACTGAACCAGGCTGAGTGAAGGAGAAACTCAATATTCTTTATCTACATGAATTTTATTTTATATAAGAGTGTGTGCCAAACTCAAAGAATAGCAATTTCTACTTCCTTCTCCCCACCACCTCCTTATTCCACAATTAAATTTTAAGATTTGACTACATAGTATATGTAAAAACAATAAAACTGAAGTAATATTTTTATAACATTCATTTTTTCCTAATTGGAATTAATCAGAACAGAAGTAATCAAAATAAATTTCGGTTTTAAAACTGTCTTTTGACTAAAGCAGTTTGTGCTGAATAGTGTCCATTTGGAACCTTTTAAACCAATGAGGCCTTTGCAATTAGCAAATTATTGGTGTGAATAGATTCTTATGGCAATAAAAATAAAATATTCGATGCAGGGCAGGATATACTTTGGACTGTAGTGAGCATTTTACAGTTTTGAATCAAGGAATTATTACTGAAAATTGAAAAGACAAATTTTCTTATCCCACTAGACTCACTAATTACATATTACTCTTCTTGTAGACTAATTATATATTACTGTTCTTTGTAGCATGTGTTAGCTTTAAAATTCACCCTTTATTTATGATCTTTATGAAATATAACTTTTCTGAAAATAAAATAACACCTGCCATCAGCTGTAACCAGTATAATATCAGGAATTTCTGGGCAATTAATCCTTAATGCGCCATAAAAACTGGTTTTTCTCAGTTTATAATGCCGTCTTTTTCCCTTAGTCTGTGTCATTTCACTGGCCACCAAAAACTCTGTCTGGCAAAGAGCAGGTCACTTTTTAATTTTCTGTCATCTTCTCACAAAGCAGAATTCAGTGATGCCCTGTCAACTCCATTTTTTTTTTTTT